CTTTGTACAGTTCATGAACATGAGAGAGATTTTACATGTGCATATGGGTAGGATGAGGGTGGAAGAATCCAGGGAATCATAATATCTGACAAGAAAATTATATGAAAATCAAATATCAATATCCACAAATAAAGATTTGCTGGAATGTAGCTAATTCTGCTTATTTATGTCTATTTTCATACTACAATGACAGACTAAAGTAGCTACAAGAAATTGTGCAATCACCAACCTTAATATATGTACTACCTGTCCCTTTATAAAACAAATTTCAATTCCTGGTCTAAGCACATGAGAATATTAGAAATATTAAGCAACAACATATCAGAGAAATAAATTTCAAGCAAACCAAGAAAGCAAAGGATCTAAGTCCTATAGTCAAGACAAGGCAGCTGCCTTAAGGAGCAGAGTATAGGGGTAGGAGGTGAAGGCCTAGGTCATCTATGGGGCCTTGGGTAGTATTTATCCCTGGTGTACAAATAGACTTTGAGTGCCCACGCCACAACATGGGAGGCTCTCTCAGCCAGGACTCTTGGGGGAGGGCCTAGGCCCTGCCCTGGATGAAGTGACAGACTCTGGAGATCCACCATGGAGGGCCTTACCCTCTCTGGAGATCAGAGTGGAGATTGGGTGGGGGACTAGGGAACCTGGTGGGGAGGGCAGGGGAGGAGGGGAGGAAGAGGGAACTGGGATTGACATGTGAAACAAGATTGTTTCTAACTAAACAAATAGAGAGACGGAGAGAGAGAGAGAGAGAGAGAGAGAGAGAGAGAGAGAGAGAGAGAGAGAGAGAGAGAGAGAGAGAGAGAGAGAGAGAGAGAGAGAGAGAGAGAGAGAGAGAGAGAGAGAGAGAGAGAGAGAGAGATTTTGTTTGGTACATGAGGAGATTAAACAAAACAAAAACAGTGTTACTCTCTGTCATGTCTCCTTGACCCAGCTCACTTTTCAGAACTGGGAAGTCAAAAAGTCGTTGAATGAATGAAGAGGAAGACAAAAGAGAGAAGCATAAAGCAAATGAAACATGAGTTGCACACGATTGGGAATGAAAGTGCATCCCCATGACTAAACTCCAGTTAGTCTACTTTGTGTAACATACATCACTGGTTCCCAGAAGTTAGCAAAAATCCCCACTTTGGAAGCCAACATACCAAAAATGCTCACTGTGTGTGTGCTCAAGAGATGAAAAAAAAATGTCTTTATGACTCCAGTTAACTTCGCCAATGCTAATTCAAACCCACTCTCTCTCCCTCTCTCCCCCTCCCTCTTCTCTCTCTCCTCCTCCCTCCCCCTCTCTGCTTGCAGGTGACACCCACACATCTCCTTCAGCTTTGGCAGAGATGCTCACTCAGATAATAACTGGAGTTCATGCTGCACATTTTCATCTTCGTGTGTCACTGTCACCATGTAAAACCACAACTATAGGAAAACAAAGCTGTTTGCTGCTCTTCTGTCTCAACTGACATTTCCACCCAGCTCACAGTTTGCCCTTTGGAGACGAAGGAGATTATCTGTCATTGATATACCGTTGCATAATGAAGTACAAATGAAATGCAAGCTGCCCTTTCTACAACTTTTTGTCCCCTTGAGTTTGTATCCCATTGAATCCTTTCATGAAAAAGGCATGTCCTGTGTGAAGCCCGGATTCTGATCTTTGATTTGACACTAAGAATGAGGTCAGCTCATGAAATCTGGCATATTCTTGCCCTCCCCCCAACTTTCAACGCAAGTGATTTCAAGCATTTTGCCCTATGTCAACCCTGAAATGAGCAAAAGGCACTTAAGCTAGTGTTCTACATCCTTCTCTGGACAGAAACCAGGAGTTTTAAGAGCCAGAAGCCTGTGAATCTTAAAACAAACAAACAAACAAAACAAAACAAAACCTTCCTATCAGGATGCCAGATGAAGGGGAAGTGTGTTCCTGAAGAACCAAGCTCCTGTGTACCACTGCCAGCATGTCAATGGAGCCTCAGTGGAGAACTCACAGAGCCTAGAAGAAGCACACTCCCAGCAAGTTTCTGAGATGATCCCCGGACCATCTGTGTGTTGCTTCATACTGTGGTGGTCAGACCTCTATTGCAATGAACCCAAAAAAATGTCTTCTATTTGTCTTACCTATCCATTATCTGTGTTCCAGATACAGTGAGAGAAGACGAAAGATACTGCTTAAATAGAAATGTGGGTTTAGAGATGTAGCTCAGTCAGTGCTTCTGCACAAGCACAAGGACCTAAGTTTGTAACCCGAGCACTCACATAAAGAGTGAGGGACTGGTGCTTACCTGTCATAGTAGGGTGGGAAGGTGGAGGCAGGAGCTTACTGGAACTCACCGGTGTGAATTCCAAACTGAGTGAGAGTCTGTCTCAAAATGTAAAGTGCAGAATCATAGAGGAAGATATCCAACATCAACATGTATATGTACACACGTGTACTTACGCACTCACAGACACACACACACACACACACACACACACACAAGTACACAGAGATGTATACACATGTTACTCTCCCCCCTAAAAAAGGAAATTGATCTGGGCTGGGGATGCAGCTCAGTTGACTGTGTACTTGCCTACATGAAGCCCTGCACTCAATCCCCAACAAAGGAAAAAAGTGCATTTGGGGTTGTTGTCAACTGTAAATTCGCACATCTGTGTGGTTAAGGCATGGCAAAGGGGTCAGTCTGGTGATGTTATGAAATCTGCATTGTGTTCCACCTTGAAGAGGAGTTTGAAGGTACTTGAACTTCCTTTTTTAAACAGAAATGGGATCTACAATTGTCATTAGTACAATAAAGACATCCTTACTGAGATTTTTGTAGTTGTTGAATTTTCACATATATCAGTCTAGTACCTTTCCAGTTGATCTGATTTCCCTGCTGAAACATCTATGAGGCTAGCTCATTCCAGTCTTTCTTGAATAGTAGTAACTCATCTTTTTCATGCTTTCTTACATTTACTAAGTTCAATAAGTCTGGTTGCAACAAAAGAAAGAGTGTGTTTAAAGATGAATTAATTAACGTACCTTTTTTACTCCAGGTCATCTTCAAAGTAAAACTTGAAGCCAAACAAGCTCTTGTGTCTGTGATTCAAGGGCCTGCTCCACACACGATTCTCTTCCTCACCCTAAGGCCTTCTCTCCGGTCTGTATACATTTTCAGCTTGTTCTAAGTTTTATTTGTTTATTGTTCTCTTGAGCTGAAGCTGCTGCAAGCCTTTCAAGCACCCAGTTACGCCATGAACATGACAGGTGAAGAAATTAACATTTTCTGTCCTCACCATTGTTTGAGATCTTTTAGGATCAGAGACAAAGAAGGCATTTATAGACTTCATTGGGATAAATATCACTCCATAAAATTCAGAGGCAGGGTGAATTTTTAACTACAAAAGCCATATTTTCAGAAATCATAAGCTAAAGAAAGGTTTAAAGCATTGACAAAATCCTTTCCCAGAAAACAAGGATTTTAAGTTTAAAGTCTCAGTGGCAGGCATGGGATCTGTTCCTACAAAGTATTAGTCAAGGAACCTACAGAGGTCCACAAAGCAACACAGGCTCTTAGTTGCCTACTTTAACTACATGGTAAAGCTCTATTGCTGAAGATACAATGTGCTTTGATTACAGGGCAGAGAAATCAAGGTAGAACTGAACTGAGACCTTCTTTCTGGCTGTCTAACTTTCATAGTGGTTGAGAGGTGTTCAGACCACTGTGGGGTGGGGAGGGCATATAAATAGTCTTACCTAGACCTGGACCCTGAAGATTACAATATCAACCTGCCAGACAAGAAATGCCCACAGATGCAATAGTGACACAAAGGTTATGGGAGCAACCAGCTACTTTTCTGATAATATTTGAGCCCTACTCCATAGGAGGGAATTGAGAACTGATACTGTAAACCTAGGCAAAAGTCAATGACTCGTGGCTCATATGTCGTGATAGGGAAACTACTACTATTGTTTTTTTGAATGGGCATGTCAGACTGCCTTCTGAATATTTCCATTTTTACCCATAGATTAGTGCTGCTCTCAGCCTCTTTTCTGCCCTGGGTAGCAATGCAGAGACTCATAACTGTTCTTATTGGTGAGAGCAAGAGACTATTGAATGTTCAAACCCAAATGGAAGACATTTATATCAGCCTTTCCCCCAAAGCTCAGGGAACATCACAGAAGAGGGAACTAAAAGAATTTAAGAGCCAAAGAGTGTAGAGGGGTTCTGTGAAATGTTGTATTCTAGACACGGCATACCCATTGAACTCATAAACTGACAGAAGCTATGGTTAACTGCACAAGATCCAACAAGATTGTCAAGAATTCCAACGAGTGGCAACTAACTGGATTCAGTGGAGTACCTAAAAGAAAAGACTGAAAAAGGGGAGGACATGAAAATGAGAGGGGGATGCATTAGAGACTATCCGGGGGGGGACATGGTGGGGAGGAGTTAGTATTGGTACTATCAAGACACATCATATACATATGTACAATTGTCAACAAATAAGTTATTTTTATTTATTGACTTTATGTGTATGGATGTTTTGTCTAAATGTATGTTAGCTGCACCACGAGAGTTCCTGGTGTCCATGGAGGCCAGAAGAGCATATCAGATATAGTTCCTGGGAATAAAACTCAGGGCCTCTGGAAGAGCACCTCATGCTCTTAACCACTGAGCCATCTCCCCATTAACAAATAAAGTTATCCAAAAATAAAAACAAAATAAAATAAAACATTACCAACACTCTATTAAGAAAAAATGTGGGAACTTTAAATGGAAAATCAACTTAATCCTGATAGTTTTGTTTATAATAACTTTTTTAGAATGCTTCTAACTGTATTTATTTTTCAGATTGCACAAAAATTTGTAAACTGTAAATGAACTTATTAAATTAGATGTTCTTTGACCAAATTTCTTTGTGTACGCTTTACCTCTTGTGTCTATAATAAGAAGTGGAAGACAGAAGAGATTCTTTCCTTCTCAGAGTGTGCTTAGATCATTCAGACTCACCATCAATTCATAAGCCCATGTGAAATCCATTTATTCAGCCAATAAATACTTATTGCATGCTACACATTATTCTAGGCACTGGAAATACAGAAAAAAAAGCAAATGGAGTTCTTTCCCTATGGAGATCCAGTCTAGATTAGAAAAATAATCAGTAAACCAATAAATAAGGAAAATATCTAGTATATGAGATGGTAACATGTTATAGAGAAAATAAACAAGGTGAGAAGACAAGTTATAAAGGTAATTAACTACAGCTGAAAGTAACATTTAAGCCAATGTGTCAAGGAAGTAAGAGCAAACTAAGTAGATATCTAGGAAATAACATTCTAGACAGAGAAAAGAGTATGTGTAAAGTCCCTGATAAGGGAACAAGCCTTTGATATTTGCATTAACATATCAGTGAGAGATTGATTTAAGCTTCATCTGGTCTTGCAAATAGCACAAACTCAGTCAGCTAAGTCCTGAAAGAATCCATGCCATTGTGTTTTACCTGGGTTCATGGTGACTAATTGGAAGTGAGTACTGTGCTTTCAGGCCCATCTCATGTAGTTGAACTTAACATTTATAGGAGATAATGTAAGTCCACTGGAGTTCCCACATGGCAGTACAGAGACTGGGGTGAGGGATCAGACAACCATCTGACCATCAGTAAGCCTATTAGAATAGCCATGCAAATTAGTGGCTCAGTTAGTTGACTAAATGATTGAAGAACTAAATGATGGAAGGCTCAGTTGAGCTATAGCTGTCCCATAGCAGACATATCAGACAGGGCACATGGATAAAGTCAGCCTGATATCTCAAGGGATGGGAAACATTGGCCGATTGATAAACTGCTACTGAAGCCAAGCAAAGAAACCACTAGTTGTATTTCTTTCAAGAGAAACCAATGTTTGAAAATCTGGAGAGAGAAATAGAGGCAGAGTCAGGGGATGGGGAGGCATACAAATGAGAGAGAGAGAGAGAGAGAGAGAGAGAGAGAGAGAGAGAGAGAGAGAGAGAGAGAGTCAGTGGAGCGGGGAGACACACACAAGAGAGAGAGAGAATACAGAGATGTAAAAAGACTCATGATACACTCTTTCAAATAGCAAAATATCTTCGGATTCCTTGCCAACCATCCTGAGGACAACATTAAAGCACAAGTTTAAAACAGGCACATGTTAGTGTAGTAATTTTATCATTGGATGCAGATATAAGATACACTCGGTCTCTTTAAATTGGCATGCTCAGTCCCAAATAGGTGCGCTCACAATTAAAACCTTCAGGCACACCTTTAACTCCAAGACTCTTACAATAATAGCAGCAAGTGACACAGTTTTCTTCATACATATTACATCTGAAAGGGCAAAAACATTACTCTAAACCAGTGTTTTTTAAAGCATTTGTTGGATCATACCAATAGTGAAACACCCATGACTCCTATGCATTGGTTCTGTTCAGAGTAGATATGAAAAATCTCAGATGTGATTCATCTTCAGTAACCCTCCTTTTCCAGTTAGAAAATAAAGTTATTGATTACCAAAGATCAAATCTTTCCATTAAAAAAAAAGTGTTTGTTATTTGCTATTGCCCTTTCTAAAAACTCTCCAGTGACATCATTTTTCAAATGTAATTTTACAACTGCAATTCAAGAACTATACATGTCAAAAGGCTGGCTGCAATCACAAGTGCCAGGATCAGCCATCTTTCAACACACAAGTTGGACTGATCTTGGCCTTCACTGGTTTAATTAAAGGCACAGAGTGTAAGCCAATTAAAAAAAACTATCTGAGAATGATATCGTCTGTCTAGAATTAAAAGAGTCCCATCCCTTCCTCCTTCTCATATTAAAAAAAAGTTTAAAGACCTCTTTATACACAAAAACAACAGTAGGGGCAAATGCCTTATGTTTGATTACAAGATAAACTATTGCAATTGTTTAGAAAATTATTGAAGCTGAGAGATCCTCATGAATTCAAATTTGTTACAAGCTGGGCATGATTGTGCACTCATGTAATCCCAGCACTTGGGAGTCAGAGGCAGGGGGATCACAGCAAGTTTCTTTATCTTCATTTTACAGTTGAGAAATCATAGCCTTAGATAAACAGTGACTTGCCTATGGTCATTCAACTAGTAATGGCAGGTCCTCCTGCCTCTAAAACCTCTGAATAGTTCAAAGCACTAAAAAAATGGCAAAGATTTCTGTAGACTCATTCTTTAAGGTTCCCAGATCTATTCCAATTGGCCCAAACTGGAAGCAAAGAAAAAAAGGTTCATATTCATTCCAGTATCAGGCCTTGCAGGATCTCTTGAGAACTTCAATGTTGTTCCTAAAGACACACTACAAAATGATTTTTCATGCCAGTGAATCCACAGGGTACAAAGCAGCTGAGCTCACAAAATCCTGAAACTCTGAGCCCTAGAGCTAAAAACAGTCCCTCTAAACCTTAGAGTCTAAAAGAACTTACACTGGGGCTCCCTAAGATGCTGTCTGGAAAATATCCACCTCTTTAGTATATGTCAAGAGTTGCCTCATCCCCTTCTTCAGAGAAAGCTCCCAGGAACTCATCCTGGTCACCTACTCAATGCTAACACCCTCTTTTTCACAGTATCATGACTAGTGCTATATAGATGCAATTTCAGTATTCCACTGCAGATACCCATAAGGACAACAAGGAAACCAACTCTGGGAAGTTGAAACTTAAAATGATTTGCCTATAACAAGCTACTAAACAAGTAATCCTTCATAGCATTCAGATATATTTGTATATATATTGACCTTATTTCCTCTCACATTCTTCCTGGGGTGGGGGCTATTTAGTTCTGAAATCATGTTGTGACTATTAATAATACTGAATTCCCAAGACAGGAAATGAGGAAAGCAAGTCCTGGGGGTGCTTTGAGGGCATTCCATGGGTCAAAGTGATTTAAAATGATCACAGTTCATTAAAAACATGTCCACAGCTTTCTAAACTAACAAGAAAACACTAAACAGGAACTAAGTGGCTCATTTCATGAGTGGGAAACAGTGTTTTAATTCTTTTCAAATATGTAAGTACTGTACTCTGTAACTCTAACCTATACCCACTCTAAACACCAACTTAGCCAAAGAGAAGGCTGTTCTAGCCTTCTACTCCATCTAAACATCTTTAGCTACCACACTTCACACGACTGAAAGTCACACACATGCCAGTAAGTGAGAAAGCAACCAGGGACATCCTGGAAATTGGCTTCCAAGGCAGAATGAATCCTCTAGCTTCTTGTTTTCTCTACTCTAACTTCTCAATCAAGTCGATAAATATACTAAGCTTGAGTTTGGGTCAAGGCATGCAGAATTTAACCTGTCGTGGAAGTTTCTTTAAATTCATTCCAGAGTCTCAAGAAGATCGTGATGTCAGATCAAGATGCTCTGAAACTATTAACAAAGGTGGCCCAGTAGAGGTCCCAAGTGGCCGGCTGAAAACGAGACTGTCCTTTCCTATCCAGAGCACTGGTGTTGAGCAGGTAGAGGGGCACCAGCCGGCTGGCTTCTGGATAGGGGTCCCTGTCAGGGGCTGTAGGCTGCAAAGTCTCTCGCAGGAGCGTAGGGCTGGTAATGCTTGCGCGTGGGCCCGAGTCTCCGAGGTGTCATGTTCATGTAGTCACTCTGAAGGAGTCTGTTCCTTTTGCTATTTTTCTGCAGGGGGAGAAAATGTCAATATGAAAGGACTTACAGAAGATATTATGGGAGGGGTCCTAAGACTTTGAGGTTAGTTATTAGAACATCAGCTGTCAAATGACCCATGTTCATGCTTTGGACTGTGATAATGACTAAGCAGAGCCTGGATACCAGTCTACTAAAAATCTACAGGAAGCTGTTTTATAGAAATGGGTCCATTACTCTCAAAGTTGTCATCCAATCCCAAGCCCAAGAGCAAACTTAAGAACATATTCATCATTGATATTTAAACACATTTGAAAGCCCTTCCTTTTTGGAAAAGTTAAGTATTCACTAAGTAAATTATTTTCCACAATTAACAAAAAAAAACGCTGTCAGTTCTTTCAGGATCTGAAATAATAATTATAAATTTATGTCAGTAGAGGCCAAATAAATAAGGGTCTCTAGTTCCGGTTCTGAATACTACATTCCTATTCCCTATGTGTGCATATTTCTGCAAAGGCAATAAAGTCACCCACCACTGTTCCCTAGGCTTAGTAACATCTGGATGAAATTCTACCAGGAGCAGAGAAAGAGGAATGACACTGAACCTGGAGCTAGAGTTAACACTTTGAATCTTGGCCAAGTTTTTGACTGCGGATTAGGAGCATCATTGCTGATCAATGTGATGGTAACGTTTTCATTTTGACAAAAGACTCATAAAGCTGTCAAAAGCAGAAAACCATGTGGACTGTCTATTACAGAATTCTATTATGGATTTTCTACTATGAAAAAGACAATGCCTATTTCTAAGCACATAGGCCCAATGCACTGGACATGAGTAACAAGCTTTCCCAAATTGATAAATGAGAGTGACTGTAGCCTTAGCCTCCTTTCTACATCCAGAGGCCTCTGGCAAGCAAAGAATGCTGCTGATGCTGCCCAGGTAGGCATTTTCCGCACTGTTGCTAACCTTGAGGGTTACCCTTATAGCCTCAAAACTCTAACCCTTGCCTGTGGATACTCCACTGAAACTATAGCTTAAAGAAAGGCCTCAATAATAATAATTGAAAAAAATGTCATGACTCTGGGGTTCTCCAAATTACACACAAAGATAAAGAAAATCTGCTGTTACAATCAGCTCCCATGCTTACCCCAACGCTATTATCAGATAGAGGGTTTAGCTTGCATCATCCTGACTCTAAACTAGTAAGACAGAAATGGCTGGGAACCCAATCTAGAGCCCACAGTGCTCATGTGCACCAACAATATTCATCTATGTATGCATAGTGTACCCACCTCCCATGTCTGTGTATCTGTGTCATTTATGACATCAGGGCCACTCTACCTCTGCCCTTCCTCCTATCTCTGCCTTGCCCACTTGTTTCCTACTACAGGGCATACAGAAACAATGTGCTTAAATGGTCAAGATTCCAGGGCAGATGCTACCTCAACACATATTATCCACTCTTTGTGGTACACATTGGCAACAAGCACATTAAAAACAAACCAAACAAACAAAACCCTCCTCTAAGCTGAAAAAAGAAAGCAGTTTAACAGCTTATCTGAGTAAATAAAGAATTGAGAGTGACAGGTAGCAGCCTGAGGCAACCTAAGAAGCATTTTTCTGTGCTCAAATGCCAACAACAGGTCAAGCACAGACATGAAATCGATAGCTGTTCCTAGGAACCCAGCCTAGAAGTGGGTTAGCAGGAAGCTCTGGAAAACAGTTGACTTCTATCAAGGCACACTGCTGACCAGCCAAAAATAGGATCCCAGAAAGTGATCTAGGGGTCCCTAGATGCCTCGTTCACCAAGTTGCTTATTGGTCAAATAGCAGAAAGAGGAAAACATGAGCCCAAGGTAAAACTGTTATATCGTTCTGTGAAATGCAAATTATTTTTGTGTGCTGCATTTTGTCAGAGCACAAAGACCTGGGTTTGAGGCCCAAATAAGTGATTTTTTTTGCTAAATAAGATGGTTTGACTCCCAAAAGCGATAGATGACAAGACACATCAAGCGCTAAGACTGTCCGAGTCACAATGACCTTGTGAGATAAGCCAAAAACAGCTCTCTCAAGGCAAAAATGACTCTTACCAGGAATTATGGGGCTGCCAATGAAAAGCTCAGAACATCTCTGATAGCTGTTTTAACTCACTGAAAGTGAGAAACTTTGTCATTTTGGGTGATTCCAGTCACTTAGCAAATTACTGTCTAATTTTAGAAGCTGGCTTCATAATGCGTATTTACCATAAGTTTTAAAGTGGTTCCTGTGGGACCATTGAAAGCTAAAGCAGTTTCCAAAACTACTTTCCACGAAGCTAGTAAACTCCTTTGACCTAGGTCAACATATGACAAGGGAGCCCCTCTCCTGGAATAAGGCCATGGCACCTGGCCTTTAGATTAGGAAATTGAACTTCTCAGAGACTTAGGAAGCCACATAGCAAGCAAGAAAACCAGTAACCGCCATAGAGTAAGCCACATAGCAAGCAAGAAAACAAGCAACCACCATAGAGCAACAAGATAGCAAGAATGCACACTCTGAAGTCCAGAAGGAAGAAAGCTCTCAACTAGTAACAGCTGTAGAACCTGGGCACTATTTTCCTACTCTAAAGTTTCCTGCCACCATATCATGATTGGACATCTTGTAGAAGCCAAGTTAGGAAGATTCCCAAGATGATAGAAAGAATTCCCAGGAAAAAGCAAACACTATCTTCCCTTCTGTGTAGAAGTTATAGATTAGTCAAAAGGTAGCCTGACAAATGTCCACCTGCCCACTATGGTCTTGTGAACTACCTGAATATTGGAGAATAGTAGAGAGGCAACTTTGGATAAGAAAATAAACAATTTAAATCTAAGGCTGGATGATAGAACTTCAAAACTAAGGCTGCTCTGTCCCCCTGCCAACACTATACAGTAAAAGTAAGGTGACATCACATGGCCTGACTTCCAGAAGTCCCTGACTGTACATTGCTCACTTAAATGTATGGACTGTGCCTTGGAATGGGCATCATATCTCAAGGAGGCTTAGTTAGGTCTTTGTTTGGTTTCTATAAGATTTACCTATTTGGTAATCCAATAAACACCCACTTATTAGCAAATGGGCAGAGAATAGAAAAGAAATGCTCTTTTCCCCTTGCACACAGCACACATTTCTCATTGAAGAAATTACTTACTTGCACATTCACCCAACTTCTGGGAAAAATTCATAGGCATGTGAAATCATTGCACAAGCTGTTCTATTCCTTGTGCACAAAGAGGTTTCTAAAGAAAGGGTCCTTGCTAAGGTGGTCCCTTCTTAACAGTGAGCATATTCATCAAAATGTGTTCAAACAAGGGTGGGAAGGATGGCTCAGAGGTTAAGAGTCCTGGCCTCTCTTTCATAGAACTCAGTTTCAGTTCCCAACACCAACATGGTGGCTCAGAAATATGTGCAACTCCAATTTCTTTTTTTCCCTTTTTTAAAAAATTTAAATTAGAAACAAGCTTGTTTCACATTTCAATCCCAGCTCCCTCTCCCTCCCCTCCTCCCCATCCCTCCCCCCCCAGGCCCCCCAGGCCCCAGCCAATCTCCACTCTGATCCCCAGGTAGAGTGAGGCCCTCCATGGTGGATCTCCAGAGTCTGTCATGTCATCCAGGGCAGGGCCTAGGCCCTCCCCCCAAGAGTCCAGGCAGAGAGCATCCCTCATTGTGGGATGGGCACTCAAAGTCTATTTGTACGCCAAGGATAAATACTACCCAAGGCCCCATAGATTACCTAGGCCTCCTCACTGACACCCACATTCAGGGGGTCTGGGTCAGTCCCATGCTTTCCACACAGACATCAATCTGGGGTCCAGGAGCTCCCCCTTGTTCAGGTCAACTGTTTCTGTGCAACTCCAATGTCAAGAAATCTGATGCACTCTTTTGGCTTCCATAGGCACCAAATATACAAATGGTGCATAGATATAAATGCAGGCAAAACACTCATACACATGAAATAAAATTTTATATGTGTTCAAAAGCCAAACAGGGTGGCACACACCTATAATTCCAGCACTTGAGAGACTAAGACAGGAGGATCACTATGAGTCAAGGCCAGTCTGAATTGTATAGGAAGTTCTGGACCAATCTGGGCCACTAGTGAGACATTGTCTCAGAAAAATCAAACAAACAAAAATGTTGAAGCTTAGATCAAAACATTTAACATTGAGAAAGGTGAATATATGTATACCAAGTTTATTGCAGAATCATCTGCAGAAGCTAGTAAGTTCTGTTCAGTGGGAGAGCTCTGAACAGTCTCCCTCCCTTTATGCTTTTATAATGACAGCCTCACATAATGCAACTGCTTCAGAAGAGACAGAAAATAGGACTGACACAAGCAGACCTGTTTTCTTCTGGTTTGAATGCACATTTTCAGCAGCCTACTGTCTCCTGATTTTTGACCCTGAGCCAAAGCTCTTCATTGGCTTCAGTTGCCTAGCTTCCTGATGGGGCTTAGATTTTCTGTACTTTATGCATGCATTTATATGCTTTTGTATGCAATTATCATGTTGCAAAAACAAGGATAAGAAAGCTAGCTGCCTCTAATTTTGCACCCTAATCTCCCCCATTTAGTTTCTCATTTTTCCTGGCCACTTAGTGCCTAGAAAACAGAATTCACAGCAGACATTACTTCATATGAAGTTGAACAAACTAAAAAAAAATAACCTATTTCAACATTGCAGTATAAAAGATGCAGGCCAGAGTCTTAATATAGTCAGAGTAAGTGTGCGAGAAGTTACATAAGAGCAACGCTGCTCCTCTTACCCAGATAACGCAAAGAGCCACTGTCACTACCAAGCCATAAAGAAGCAGGACTCCAGCAGCCCCGACCAATGCCCACAACAGCGTAGGAGTTGCCTGATCAGGACAAAGATGTTTCTCTGAAAAACATGACAGAGTGGATTAAAGGACACAGCAGCAGCTGAATGCATTTCTGTCCTGAACATAAGAAAATTTAAAAGTACTAGAATATGCGAAACACTACCATCTTAGATGATCTCCTCTTGCTCTTTGGGACCTATTCAAGCCCACCACTGACCCACAACCTTGTCAGCATACAAGACCAAGGCTGAAAACCATTGCTTTAGAGTGGCACAATGGTGGCATTGCAGTCGCTGGATCTTGTTGAACATTGTACAATTCAAAATGGCGACTTTCAATGACTTTACCCCACCTCCTTACCCCAACCAGAAGCTAACTGATCTAGACACTAAACTCTATCTTTGAAATTAAAAAATGATATAAAATGTTTTCAAACCCTAAGAAAAGTCACCAGCTTATATGGCAGTCAGAAAACTAACCTGGAAAAATTAAAAAGATAAATATCTGACTCCAATTCCAACAGCTTATCTGATGCTGAATGAGTCATATTATGTCCTTGGTATCAAAAAGGGGATGGAAAAAACCATTCAGCTCTATTGAAAATTATAACTAGAAAGAAAACTTTACAGCTCATTGAAATGTATAGACTTTGGGTTTGATTATTTTTGATGCATGACATTTTCTATTTGCAAGTTCTTTATAATTAAGTTGTAATAAAAGTACATAAATGAAAAGAATACCAACAAGTCTCTAGTCCATGAAGTTTTAATCCAGGCTTCACATTAGAATTTTCTGACAAGATCTGAAAGCAATATCTAGTTCTCCTTTCTCAAGCTACATTGATTAAGTCAGAAGCTCAAAGTTGAGGGCAAGCATTTTTTGGTTTACCTGCTTAGGTTTATAATATACAGAAATAGCAGAAGTTGAAAGCTGTTGAGTACAGAATCATGGGTGTCTTTTCTAGTTCTCCCAAATGTACATATGTGTATACATACACATATAATACTAGCCTAAATAATATATCATTCATATGGAAGAAATGGTTTGTTCTTGGCTTCCAAAATAGCATCTTTTTTATCCTTTGTCTTAATCTAATCAAAATATTTTTGTCTGAGCATTATTGATATTAGAAATCTGAATTCTCACATAAATTGCCTCTCTCTTTGCCAGAATACAAAAGCTACTCTGCCATATTAAGATAATAATTATTTCCTTGTTTAGTATTTGATTTTTCTCAAGGACAGCTTTGTTTTGGCATAAAAAGAAAATGCATTCATTGCAATTGTGCTAGAACTGAATATAAAATGGAGCATATGTTTTCTTATTTATCACTCTGTGGGAAGGAAAAGCTATAATATTGGCATAAACACAAAAATCTACCTGGTCTCTCTCAGTTTTATATGTTAATGCCAACAGCAAAATCCTGAGTTTGAGAATCCTATTATTTTTCTTCCCAATGTTTAGACAGAACATAATTTCAACATAAACACAGTACACTTATTGTTACTGATTCATGACTACTGCTTAATCATATTGAGTTTGGGACTATTAAAAGTTGGGTAACTTACCCAAGGTCACAAATTTCATGTTCCCTAACTTTCTATTTCAGCATCCTTTCTATGTTTTGGAAAATGGAAAGAAAATTAATGGAGGAATAACATGGATCCCTGAAAAAGAGAATTAATTTGATGTCCAACCCATTCTTCCTGAGTCCTGATCCACCAGGTTATGCTTCATCTTAGAGGATTCTATGCTCAATTTTATACCTGATCGTAGCCAAAAGGCATAAAAATAAAAAACAATCAACTTGCATTTTAATGGCGACATGACCTACTTGAATCAAGAGTAATCTTATAGGGTCTATTCCCATGGCCTGTAACTTCTTCCCTCACTCTTCCACATGTCAGTGAGGAAAGGTATAGGCATTCAAAAATATAAGCTGGCCTCATTTCTAAAGTAAAATGAAAACACGTTTAAGCATGATGTGCCTTTAAGTCTCAGATCATTGGTGAGTGTTCCAGCCTCCCCACCTACCCCAACCTCAACTTCACCATTGCCAAACACAAGTACAGTCACATGTTACCTTTCACGTGAATAATAGTTCCATTGCTCTTCTCATTGTCTAGGTAAGGAGGAGGATACATGACCTCAATTCTGCAGAAGTAAATGTCTGTTTGATTAACGTGCAGATTCCGGAGGTAGAATGTCACCGTTTCATTGTCCAGATTCCCGTCACAGTTGAAGCCCACATTTGAGTGAAACTGAAGCTGATAGGAGAAATTCCCATTCACAACACAGACTTCCACATCACTGTTCACTCCCTTGTACAGGGATGCCCGGAACTCCTTTGAAAGGAGGTTGTGAGAATACCTGCAGCTGAGGGTGACGTCATTGTTATCCACCACAAGCATGGGTGACTGCTTCACCAAAATCTTGTTTTCTGAGGGGAAAATTTTAGTTAGGATATAAGAATAATAATTCTGTTGTCCTGAAATCAAAATAAATTAATTATCCAATTGAACAGATCTCCAACAAAGTTAGTCTCTTGGCAGATAAAGATATAATAGCTCTTCTTGGAGGGATAACTATATCAAAAGTTTTAAAGTTTATATTTCAGTAATGTTGGCATCCTCTTTTGAATGGGAAAATGGAGCGTGTTTCCACCTGGAAGGCAAAATGTGACCTTTTGTCAGCACTGAGCACCACAGCTACGCACTAGGAATTTTTGAATCAATCTGAGATTCCTAAGATGTTAATCAGGCATTGGGTTGATTTCCTGATTAAGTGATATACTTGGAAACAGCCCAAAAGCCCAACATGGTACCCAGATGAGTTTGTTTTCGACTGTGTGACAGGTTTCTATAAAAAGGATTTAAAAGTTTCAGAACATTTGACTTTGCTTATTGACCAAACCAAGAGTAGGATAAAGAAGTGAGGAAACCTGTAGTGCAAGTGTTGGCTTTAATTTCTCTTCCATAGCAGATTCAGAGAATGGTCTCCCAAGAAACTTGCATGTTTGTTCTCTTAAGTCAACAAGAGTTCTATCTTTATGCAATAAACAATCAAAGATCTGGATATGGTCTAATTCAATTTCTCACTTCAAAATCGAACAAAGTGAAACCACATTATTAACTCCATTAGGGAGGAGACCACTCTGATATTTTCCACTGTGTGTGTTCCAATTTCACAAAATATAGTCCCCAGAATACAAAACTATATTCCTTTTTTAAAAATCTATTACAGTTTAAGTGTGTGTGTGTGTGTGTGTGTGTGTGTGTATGTACCACAGTACACAAGTGGAGATCAGAAGGTAACTTGCAGGAGTTGGTTCTCTCATCTACCCAGGGAGCAGGTATGGCAACAAGTGCCTACCTTGTCTTTAGATCTATATTCTTTTTCTAAAGAAGCAAGCAAACCAACAACAAAACAAAAACCAAAAAAACTTGGTCTTACTTTATAGCCTTGGCTGACTTAGAACTCCTATATAGACCAGACTGGCCTAGAAATCACAGACTCATCTAACTCTGCCTCCTGAGAATTGTAATTAACAGTGTGGGCCACCATGTCTATATATCCTGGGGTGTGGGGGATGACTGAATGAGGTCTAGAAACATGAATGGTTAATCTACAGTCATTGAAGAAATGATGAATAAAATCAGAACTGAAACCAAATGCCACACCATATAAATATCTGACCGCTTAAGCATGGAGAATCAACCTCACAGATCAAAGACCCTACACCTTTTTTTGAAACATAACCTCAATATTTTAGAAGTAAACAAATTGCTGTTTGTCTGTGAAGGACATTTAATACAAATAAAATAATTTTTGCTGGGGGGCATGCTAATAATTACCTATTTATGATTTTTTGATTGTGAGCCTAGCCTTAACAGCCGAGCAATCTCTTCAACCCCATTTATAATTTTTAAAAAGTTATTTGTACCCCAAAGCCAGCTAGAATCTGAAGTTGTTAAAAAAGATTTGTCATTTAATTTGGGATTGAATTCATAGACACAGGTGGGTTCTTTTGTTGTTGTTTTGTGTTTTTTGTTATTTGATTATTTGTTGTTTTGGGGTAGAAGGTAGCTACACATAATTAAATCTGTTTTGTCTTTTATATAGTTATCAATATAAAAGAAAACCCACATCCACACCTCTTCCAGAAATTGTGATATATTTGGTATAAGTTAAGATGGAGTTAGTATTGATACTGGGGTTTGAAATAATCTTACTGAAGTGTAATTCACACACCATAAGGTTCTCCTTTTAAAGAGTAATACTCTGGAAGTTGCGAGTATTCCATACTATCTGTTTGTAAAATATTTTCATTACATGAAAAGGAAACTCCATGCTTACTAGCTGTCACTTCCCATCATTCTCTCTCCAGCCTCTGGCAACCACTTACCTACTTCTTGTCTCTATTTGCCCATTCAAGACATTTCACATGAATGGAAACATAGTGTGTGTGTATTATTTAGTATCTGGCTTCTTTCATATCACAATTTTCAAGTTTCTTCCATGTTCCAATAAAGTTTTGTTCTATGGTTAGATAATATTCTATTGTGTAAGTATAGTACATTTTGTTTTTCCACTCAACAATGCTGCTATGAACATCTGTATAGCAGTTGAGAGGGAGGAGCTAAAAGGGAAAGGAGAGGCTGCAGCATCCAGACTCCGATGTTCATTTGGTGATTCCTGTCTGATTCAGCAGGAGACATCCTCCCAAGACTAACACATCAGAGGAAACGGATTTCCTAACATGAATTCATTGGGCAGGTCACAGTCTAGTAGGGAATAAAAAAATGTATAAACAAGCAGCTAATTTTAAGATAGTAGATAGTAACCTGCAGGTTCTGGGATCAATTGAAGAACCAATCAGATTCCCTACACATGAATACTGCTGGTCTGAGAGGTAAAAAATGATCCCTCACTGCTTGACAAATGTTTATCAGGTGAAAAAGTTAGCCCAGCTAAGACGTGTCCTTAAGTTGGGGGGATGAGGTAAGTGTGTGCATATTGATACTAAAAGTAAGTTGGTGACATGGGGAGGAGAAAAGAAAAAACAGCCAAGGAAACAGGAATTGAGAGTGAGTGTGACACTCTGGAGGGAATTACAGCTACCTCCATTCTTTCTGACCAAGGGCTAGGAAAGACAAGATTGGAGAAGCAAGCACTGCTCACCATGTAAGAGACCTTGGCCCCTCGCCTGCCAGTGATGGAGAACTAGTGAGGGCTTTAAGCAGAGAAGTAGATGTGCACAACTTTTTCATTTATGTAGGTCACTTTAGCAAAAGCGGAAGTGGTACTTTGGAGTGTACCACAGTGAAGGCGTGGAGAGTAGGCAAGATTCAGCGGCCTGCTGGGCCAGAGGTGAAGTGAGCAATGTTTATAGGCCAGCGCTTACCCAACTTGACAGTGATTGAGGTGTGGTTGAAGAGAAAAGGAAGAGTTTCAAGTGACTTCCTCAGCCACGCAGACCAAGGAACAAGTAGCTAGTTTTCTGTTTGCCCACACCTCTCTTCACTCATTTCTACTCCACTGCATTACCAGAATAGACAGATCCAAAGCCAAAGTCAAGTTCGAACATCTGGGCTACAAACAAGACAGGTTTGCAGCCTGGGGGTGGTGGTGGGAGTCAAGACACAGGATGGAAACTTTCAGAAGGAAGAGGCAGCAGTCATACTCTGAAACGGTTTGTCTTCACAAGCAGTAATATAAAAACTAGACGGTAGCTCTTTCTTCTTCCCATCACGGGGCCTCTGAGTTCAAGCCTCAGCATGGTTGGCTTTGTCCGATTTATTCTGAGCCCATTTGACCTCAGGTTACAGACTGAGAATGTTCTCACCAAAAACTCAACGGCCCTATGTAAGACTGTCACATGTCACCGTTCTGGTGACACAGCTGCCACTGAGCAAAGAAAGGGAAAATTCTTCATTTTCTGACTGTACCAGAATATTTTTGGGAAAGAGTTTGAAAACAACTATGAAAAGATGGACAATTTATCTGTAGATGTTTACTCTTCTGTGTCAACAGATAATTTTTAAATTAGCTGATGATTAAAGAGAGATGCTATATTTGAGGTAGTTTCTTATTTTGTACAAATATGTGGCTAACAGCTTCCTAGCTTAAAATTCAAGCTGATAAAACCTCTTTTTTATAAATGTTAATACCCTTTCTAGGATTTGTTCCCACTTTAATTTATTCCAAGGATTCAAAAAAGTCCACTAAGAAGCGCTGTCTGACAGGACTTCAAAAGCTACATCTGCTCAGGAAACACACTAAATGAGATAAGTTTATGTCTGGTATTAGAGAAAGATTAAAGTTATCTTAAATGATATTGATATACAGTTATTCTAAATGTGTGATCATTGTGGTTTCTAGAACATATGATACTTGTATCTTCTTTAAATGTCCCTTAAAACTGAGCACATGTGAGAAGATACAACCCTCACTCTATGGCAGCAGAGTACAAATATACAGATAAATCAAACCAAGTGACAGTGGTCAACTTGGCTATGTACTTTGGTATTTTGTTTGTTTGTTGTTGTTGTTGTTTGTTTATTTGTCAGGGAATCTGTGGTATTTCAAATAATTTAAAGGAATACTATAAAATTCAAGGACATTCCTAGGCTTAGAACAGCAGTTCTCAATCTTTGGGTCAAGACCCATTTGGGATTGAATACCAGATATCCTGCATATCAGATATTTACATTACAATTCATAAACGCAGCAGAATTACATCATGAAATAGCAATGAAAATAATTTTATGGTGGGGATCCCGAGAACCTGAGGAACTGCATTGAAGAGTCACAGCCTTAGGAAGATTGAGGACCACTGACTTAGAAGAAACTAAGAGATGCATTCAGCTTTCCTATACTGGCTTCTGTTTGAAGTTTTTCTGTTTTCCAGATCATGCTAGGAATGACCTTTCTTTCCCACTGCAAATACTTGATTCTATTTTCCTTCTTGTGAGTAGTTTACCTAGGGTACACCTACTAGAAACACTAATAGCCTCCCAACTGCATTTACCTAATGAAGTAAAAGATGCCTAAAAGAAAAAAAATAAGATTGCCTTGGCTGGTGTGTTTCTGAAAATCGGCAGGTTGTTTTGATGATGAATTTAGTGCTTTGCTTTTCAAAGCCTACCTAGCAGCTAAACGAGCTTAAGGTGTGGAGACAGGAAGCAGTAACCTCAAAACTCTTTCCCTCGCAACTCCTGCTCAACAACAGGCGACATGAAGAGTAAGATCAGAGATGAGAAGGCACTTATCTGCAGCCCATGGGCAAAGCTGTGAGAGCCAGATTTCCCACTGATAGTCTGTGAAATTTGTGGTAGAACTGGCTTCTGGAAGGTTGAAAATTGTTTGTGTTTCCAAGAGAATGGGGTGCTTACAGAAGCAACGTCTTTCCTTCTCATCAGTTCTAAGTGGGTCAATTAC